ATTGGTCCAGAGGCGATGAAAATGGACCAGAGGCGATGAATTGGTCCATAGGCGATGAAAATGGACCAGAGACGATGCATTGGTCCAGAGGCGATGAAAATGGAACAGAGACGATGCATTGGTCCAGAGGCGATGAAAACGGACCAGAGGCGATGAAAATGGACCAGAGGCGATGAATTGGTCTAGAGGCGATGAAAATGGGCCAGAGGCGATGAAAATGGACCAACTCTTTGAAATACACAGATCTGGGCATAACATTAATTAACCTCAAAATATGGGATATTAATTTTCTAGAAAACTTTGAAATATCCGTTATATTTTAGTGATAAAACCACCCAAAACACAATTCCAAACTGGATATAACGGAGTTTTTACTTACAACCCGAATTATGTAGCAAAAGAATACGGGACAAGACTATATATAAGCTACACATACTACAACTATGAGATACGGTAATAAACTACTATTTACCCAAAAGCAAGATCGATATCTTCAAGTTCCCCGATAAATCTTCAAGTCAAACAACGGGTCCTTTCTTTTTGTCCGTCTTCTTTCCTGAGAGAGGTTGCCACTTAAATGGTAAGCCAACACTTAGTGAGTTAAATAGTTAAGCATTACATATCAATATCACGCATGTTTATAAACATACATAATAAACTCTTATCAATAAAAGAGTTCAAGACATCATCCAGATGCAAACCGAGACTTACAAGAAACCGAGTGAACAATTACGTACCGGATGCTAAGATCATAGGATTCCATATTCAAATCACCATAGTATACCATATCATTGATGCTCAATACAACAAGGAGACAGAATCAACAACCAAATATATTCAGCAACGTTAGAATACCAATAAATATCAAGAACCAAGAGATCGAATCGGTATACATAACGAGGATAGTGCATTCCCCTGTCCTTCACCTTCCGGGCTCATGCCAAAGTCCGAGTCGAAATCATACATTACGGGAAACCTCGCACTGTCCGCCTTCCTTTACCGGGTATGTGCCAAGGTTCCCTACTCATTGCTCTTCCTCCTTTCTGAGCAATGAGTATTTACAACCGCAGAAAGTCTCACCCGTCCAACCCGGGATCTTGACTTCACCATAAACTTTCGGCGTGCCACACGAAGTAGTACCCGTACTATGGCGTACAATTCAAGGAACAAAACAAACAAGTCCGGATCCGGAAAGCAAACCGATGTACCGAGATAGTAATATGGAATCGACTCAAGAGAYRRAATCAAAGACAAATCAAGATCATGTGACTCCATTCAAGACCAAAAAACATTCATATGAAAATATATATGTTCAAATCAATATGTAACAATTAACTATATAACTCACCGGGCAACCGTACAATACCGAAAAGCTCCGAAT